ATTTAATAACTGTAATATAACGTAAATGTGACGTAAGTGTAAGAATAATAACTGTAAGACATATGTGCGCGTTATATTCTAATAAAAAAAATTATTCCGTAATAAAAATTCCGTATTCTAATAAAAAAACTTAGAATATTACATATTATTTCATATTTTAATTTCGAACACAATTTGATAATATCCAAAATAAATAGAAAGAGAGATGATAAAAAACAAGTTGAATCAAAATTTTAATGTAAATTAATTTTTTTATAAGCAACATCTCACAAAAGATATGACGTGTCACGAAAGAATATGGATGTTTGGTTCGTTCTTAGATCTATATATATCAATATATTAAATCTACATTACCTCGCTTATTATGTCGATAATGACCACTCCCTTAGCGTCGCGTCGCTTGTCAAATCGTGGCCGTCGGATGTGCACTGACAATCGAACACCGACCGACTGTTCGCACTGAACCGGCGCGTATTATTAAAAGTTCGATAGCAACGTCGATGTGATACGTTAGACGATTATCAGCGGAATGACTTTGCATTAATATTGCATTTAAACGTGATTAAATTCGAGACCGAGACGAGCGAACGATCAACTACAACGTGATTGACGAGACGAAGATGACGACGATGTGCTTGCCACAATTGACGAAGCACGAATGCACCTAGTCGGGATGAGAATTATGTTGATCGCGGGATCTGTAAAGCTATTCCAACGATTTTATTTCTCAAGGTTAACACAGATTAACTCTTATTTGTTTGATGTGAGAAGCACAACGCATACTAATGTAGGAAAACTTTACGAAAGGTTACTAAATATAAGATCTACAACTTTGTTTTAAGAGGCCTTAAGCCCGATCTACAATTGCGTAAATGTAGTTGTAGTTATAAGAATTGACCAATCATACTTGAATACGAGGAGAATATCCGACTGTGATTGGTGAATTGTTACAACTACGATTACTTACAATTACGTTTACGTAATTATAGAATGGATTTTAAGCCGCAAAATCGTAAGAAATAACCAATTTAATCACAGTCGAATATAAAAAAAATAAACTGTGATTGTTCAGTTTATTATAACTTTATTGCTTAAGGCAAAATTGTGGACTACTTAGACTTAAAGAATGATTTTCAAATAATTATTGAGCATTAAAATTTTAAATGCTACTTTTTCAAATGATCATTGCACTAAAAATTACTTTCTGATAATTAAAATAAATGAGATGTACGAAGAAACACATGAATTGTGACTCAAATTTTGAGAGTCTTGGTAATAACTGAAATGAAAAATTAGAAAAAAGATAATTAGAAAAAAGAATAAACAAGAGAAAAAAAATTAATTCTTCGATAAGAAAATAATTCGAATAATTAAAATAAAAAAACAATTAAAAACATTTTTAATTGTATATTAGAAAAAATATTTTAAAGGAGTTATATATTTCTGAATTATTTAGAAGAAAAAATATTTTATATTTATCGAAGGAGTATAAATGCGATCGTAGAAAAAATTATAATAATTTGACTTAAAGAACTTGTATGTTAAATTAAAACTGCAGCACAAGTTACATATATTTAATTTTTCAATCAATTTTAAAAATAAATTATTCAATGATTATGAAATATAGATATGCATGCAATATATCTATATTTGAAAGCCTGGCACGCATTGAAAGCCTGGATATTAATATTTGAATTAAAATCAAAAAGTATAGAAAAGAACAATAAATATTAAATTGTTACGATCTACTAATAAAAATCAAATACAATTTGTTATATAACATTTTCATTTATTCACAAATTAATAAATTCATTTCTTTCATTATTGCTATAATACTATCAAGTAATATATAATAATGTCGCAGTAAAATTCTTATACACGTGATACGAGAGGTCAGTATACAACAGATTGTATGATTCTTCAGATCTTTGCCCCGGATACAAACAACATATATTTTTCTTATCAAAATCGTACGACATTGCATGACATCATTGGAGCAAATAAATAAAATCTACTTACAATTAGTAATGATTTGTAAAACTAACAACAGTCCAATAAGACTATCGTATACTTTATTTGCGCATGATAAAGAAAATATCAGAATAAATATTTATTTGTAAGAGATAACATCTCTTACAAATAAATATTTATTCTGAAGAAAGATCATTCAGATATTTAAATTCAGATATTTTTGTATAATCTGAACGATTTTTTTAAATTAAAATTAGAAAGAATTTTCTTTTATAAAAATTGCGAGAATATTTAGTGTAATACAAAAAAATTTTTGATATAGTTTGTCTCTTTCAAATAAAAAAAAAATTGCATTTTTTGTACGGAAAATATTCTTATAATAATGAATATTTATATTATTTACGAATATATATATAAGCTATAAATTATAATATTTATAAGTTATTATATCCCAATGTTAAGTTATTTAAAAAGTATAAAACATAAAATACATAATCAATTCCGCTTAAACTACTATATTATCTATAAATTCTTTAAATATGTAAGGATTAACTTAATTTTCGCATTATACATTAAATATTACATAAAATATATTTAAATTAAACGCTTTCAAAGAGAAAGTTTGCAAGTTTTGACAATACACTGAAGTGTTACAATTTTATTGTACAAAAAAAATAAATATGCAAAAATTGTCCAAGCTATGTTTTACTATAAGTTATGCACAAGTAAAGTCTTTCAATATGAGATGGCTCCTTTTGCCTTATTGCCAACAGCTCTATTGCTTACATGTATTTTTGCACAAATAAAAAATTTTAGAAACGGAGGTACGTATATGTATTATTGCCTACAAGTATTATTACTTATACGTATCTTTGCACGCAAATAAAAATTTTAGGATAATTCTATTTCCAAGAAACTATCACTTTTGAAAAATGTGGCGCACAGAATGCTTTAATTTATAATTAATTTACAATATCATCCCGCATGATTTTAAAAATTATTTATTTTAACAGAAAGGAATATATAGATAAATGTATATACATTTTTTTTAAAGAATTATTGGCTGCTTTTGCTTTTATTCAATGCATACGCTTGGCGTGGAAAAAAAAGATCACTATATATTTATATCCATATTCCTACATACTTCTAAAACTTTTGTTATGCAATATAAAAATGCATACTTTTTAATAAAAATACTTTTAATAAAAAATCTTAATTTATGACGAATATATAAAATAAAATTTTGAAAAATTTTAAAGAATATTTTTTGTCATTTTTAATTCATTTAACTTAATTTTATTTCTTTTTGTTTTGATAAGGACACAAAAATACAAAATCTGTAAATAATTCATTATAATAATTTTATAACTTGATGAACCAAATGTTAATATAGAAATTATTACACCTTCTTAGCTAAACTTCTGTACATATGATTCATTTTTCTTAAGTTTTCTTTTTTTGTTGGGGAAAAAAAAGAAAACATGAACTGTGCAAGAAGTTTTAGATAAAAAGAATCTTATTATACACCTACTGATGTTATCGGAACAGTTGATAATATTAAAACTACAGTACGAGTAATGCTTCGTCGGCAATGAAGTTTGTTGTTGCAGAAACACAGCAAAGTACAGAGTCTGACATTAACAAAGAAGATTATTAACAAAGAAGAGAAATATTATATATTATATTATTATAAATTGAATCGTATTTAAGAAAAAGCAATTTTAAACTTTACCGAATGTTTTTCGGCGATATATTAAATTCTTTCTTATTTACTTTTATTATAATTCTCCAAAATATTACAAAGAAAGACTATTTTAATTTTAATATTCAAATTTTGTTAAATGATCAATAAAAAAAACTTTTTGAAACAAGATAGTTTTACTTGTGAGAAACCTTTAAAAAATTCTGGCGAACAGAATGCTATAATTTACAGTTAATTTACAAAATCGTTTCGTATGACTTCAAAAATTATTTATTTTAACAGAAAAGATTAATAATAAAAGCAAATGCGAGACTATAACCAAATAAACAGATAAATTAAAAATTTATATAAAAATTAAAATATCATAATACAACAAATATAAGAGATAAGTTAGATTTTAGAAATTATGTGAATAATACGAAATGCATAATAATAACTCTTGCATCAATTCCGCTTCATTCATTCGCAGTTGCTGTTTATTCGACGTTTTACATAGATTAACATATTCCATGTGACTGACACATGCAGGTACAACATTGAAGTATGTGGCAATTGACCGATGTTCAAAAAAGGTAATATATTTTTTATTTTATCAATTCGCCGATCCACGTGAATGGGCAATATAACTTCGTTCATTTACCCGGCTTCGTTCTAGTCACGGCCCTGAACCAGCAGGGTCAATCTATCGTATTCATCGAGCGGCTTTCAATTGCGTCGGCCAGCCGTATCACATTCTTTGCATATTTTTTTCGAATCGTTACACCAAATGGAGGATTTTTCGCGCATGCGCAGTAGTGTGTAACAGTCACGTGTCTCTCAGTAGTGTGCGTATTCAACCGAGTGCTTGGTATTTTTGGATTCGGTTATGAATACTCTAAAAACAAGATATAAAACACCTTTGAATTGTCTCTAAGTTAAACTAATTAATTAATTTATGTGTTTTGTTGTGACAAAATGTATTAAATTATTTCATCTACTATGTCAAGATGTCACGGGAATATTAAATGTTGTTGCAATAGACAGATTGTGAAGAATTATCATAATTCACAACAAATAGTATATTATACAAATATAATTATATGTTTCCGTAACTCGCAATTATTTTATTTAATTTTATTTAAAGAGCTTAGAAAGATTACAAAAAAAATACAATAAATAATAAGAAAAGATGTATACGTTAGAAATAAAAGAAGAGATCGAATGTTTCTCGTCGGATTTAATTGTAAGTTCGAGTCTGTCGCAGCAGTCACGTGGTTCTCCAGAGTGACGGGAACGATCGAGTGGTGGGAAAAATCACTTTATCTGGCATCACTGCTTTCGCGGTAGACGTTTCGAGTGCCGAGCGGCGTTTCCTCGACGATCGACGTACACGTAGCGGTTAAATTGGCACGCGTGCAAATCCGCGGAACGCGACGCGGGAATTTTCGACGGTGATGGACTGGCAATAATCATCGGATCGCGATCAAACCCGCGATCGAACGTCCATTGTTCTCGATTGCGGTGTGATTTCCGGTTTTCCTGTACTTCTGCGCTTCTGGCGATTCTCTAAAAGCATCAATTAGCATAAAGTAAGAAATATAAAAGTTTCTTTTGCAAATGTAGCATCTGTAGCATATTAAATTTTGCAGTTATATTATAATTTTCGTCATCAATATAATCTTTCAATCAATTTTTAACGCATAAATACATGCATATATATATATATATATATATGTATATAAGAGAGTACACATATATATGTATATTTATAGATTTTTAAATTAGAAGTGTGTGGTTAAATATAAAATATATAATATTTATATTTTATATATTTATACTTTTTTATGTATTTATACTATTTTATACAATTTTTATATTTAATATTTTTTTTCTGACTTCAACATCAAGGTATCATAATTTTTCCGGTTATATTTATATACAAACATTTCAATGACCGAAATCAGATTGTCGTCGATAAATATTCAAGGCTGAATTTTATTTTGACTATCTGAAATTACCATCTATGGAAGCTTATATATAATATAAAATTTGTATTTGTAATTCTGGAACAATTTTTATATATAATAACGTTGTTATACTGTATTTTATCGCAATGCGTAGTTGTACGTGTTGTAATCAAGCAAAATTGGTGAAAGTTGGTGCGCACCACGCAGAAACGCTATAAAACTGTAAAAGATTAGCGAAGCTAAGAAATATATCGAGAAATATATGCGAGATTTTCAGGTACATATTATAATGACGTATTTCTGTGTTTCTTTCTTTTCTTACAAAAGCTCAATACATATTTGCATGCTCTGGAAACCTTATTTGAAATCTTATTTAAAGGATCTTCTTTAGATGTTTATTCTTTTTTTTCTAAACAAAAGTCTTTTTAAGACGCGATATCACCTATGGTACATACTCATGAAACATGCGTACGTGTACACAATGAAAGAATAACTAGAAGCAATATAAACCAGCACGGAAATCGATCGAACCCCATTTTATCAGGCTTTAATACCGGTTACGTGAGTAATATCGTCATTTTTATCAGCGCTCGTTTAACGGAGTTCACTTTAAGGTGATAACGTGGTTTGTGCAAAACGAGGCGTAGCTTGTAATACAAGAATTTTTAGCATTTCGTCTCTCTCTCTCTCTCTCTCTCTCTCTCTCTCTCTCTCTCATCTCAAATATAAAAAAAGAAATATAATCTTATGGCTATAATTTAAACGACATTATATGTAGATGTGGTTTGGTTTATTTACATTCAAATCTAACAAATTTTATGATGTAATTAATTATTTTCAAAATTCTTATTATATATATAATGAAATTCTATTTTTAACTTTATCATATAATAATTTGTCCTTAGTTTAATAAATATTTTAATTAATTTTGTATTTGTTTCTCTCTCTCTTTTGCAAGAATTTTTAAGTCTCTTTTAAAATTGGAGTAATTTTATATATCTAATATTCTTTTTTGCTTAATATCATTAATAATTATAATGTAATTGTATATACTACTTATTACTTATTTTTTGTATACATTTCATAAATAATATAACAATTTACGATTAAACTTTAAAATTTGGACCTTTGATTATTACACTTTTAGCGATATGCTGAATCTTTAACACTAATTACCTGAAACAAATTATTCTAAACAAATTACTTAAAAAGGTTTTCCGATTTCTATTTAAAAGAATTATATATACAAGGTGACCCTGAACATTCTGGTCAGACTAAGATTTTATAGGAAATTTAATTTTAAACAAAGAGTTTATATAAACATAAATCGAATAATGCTTCCTTAAAAAGTTAATGCTTAAAAATCTTTGAAATCACGATTATTTTATATTTGAAAGATAATTTAATTCTCTACAACTTTTGTTTCAATATTTTTTGTTAAAAAAATATACATTCCCTGATTTTTATACAAATACAAAAAATAATCGTGATTTCAAAGATTTTTTTAATCTTTGAAATCATTAACTTCTCAAGGAAGTTATTTTTTGATCAATGTTTATAAGAAACTTTTTATTCTGAGAATTAAATTTGCTATAAAATCTCAAAGTGTAGCCAAAATATTTGGGCCACACTGTATGTATAATCTATTTTTGTATAGTCGATTTTTATAATAAATAATATGCGAAATCTTTTGAAACGTCATAAAATTCCATCTAAAATGTTTCAAGTGATGAGCTTCATAGCAGGACATTTTTTACGTATTAATTGTTGAACTTGTAATAAACGAATGATAGCCCCTCATTGCTCGAGTAAAGGAAACAGACAACTCTTTATTGCTGCCATACGGCGTTTTTACCGTTATACATTACGCAACTTCTTCCTCGGACAGACGTGTGATATGCATGTACTATTGCATCGTCATACGTCGCACGGACGAATATGAAAAAGCGTTTCGAACAAAACCGAACGACTTCCGCACGAAGAAAAAAAAAATATTTGTAAAATCGCAACAGAAAATGCATCGGTAAAATCCGGAAAATTGTATCTTACCGTTTTTGTTCGCATATTTTGCGAATACAGTTGTTGCACTTCGGATTTTGTTTCGGATTATCGAATTAACCAACAAAAGTTATCGGTAAGGTCGCTACCTTTATCTATAATTTATGCGTTTTTCGTTGTTTACGATATTTAACATAATTGATATAGTTATATCATTTACTCTCCCAATAATAATATTCCTAATAATATATCCACAATAAGCGTCTTGACGATATTAATTGCGAAAAGAAATGAGATTTTGCAATTGGCGACTAGTACACGAGTTGACATACGGTTGAGTCATACATACTTGTTAATACATACCACGTGTCGCTATATCCGTAGATAGAAACCAATAATGGAGTCTTACTTCTGAACCAACGCAAAAAATAATATGTTTAATTTTTAAGAAATTTTCTAATGCAATTCCACAATTTTATATTTGTTAATTCATAATATAGAGATAATATTGATTTAAAATCTAAGATAATTAATTTATTTTTAAATTTGCAAATATAGAAGCATCACGCAAAATTATGTAATTTTTATATAGTTTGGCGTCGCGATGTTATCACTTCTTATGTAGATTACATGAGCGACTTATTGTTAGCATTGTAAAAAAACGTTAATTTGATTAATGAATTTTCTAATCCAATTTCATAATGTTATGAATATATTACTAATTCAAAATATGGAGGCATGATTGAGTTGCTTTATTTATTTTAAGTGTCTAAATAAAAACGCAAACAAAATATATTGTTTGTATGTCGCAATGCTATCGGATTGCTTGATATAAAAAATAATATAATAACTATTTGATATAATAATATGTGTACGACTTGTTTCTGAAAAACAATTCAAGAAACAATAGAAATGTTTTAATTTTTAATAAACTTCTTAATCAAATTAAAGAAATTTACATTTACTACTTCAAAATTTAGCAAGAGGAACGATATTTTTCGTTTATTTTCATTTATACAAATAAAAGTGCACGCAAAATATGTATTACATAAACTATTATACGTGCTTAAAATGATCACATCATGTATTGCGGGATCATTTAACTGTTAGCCGAGAATGCAATTAAAGCACTGTTGAGGCGCAAAGTATATTTAAACCCCGATAGTGAAATGGTTTTAGATTTACGAATATTAGCTCGCGTTACGCGACATTTCAGCAATTGACTTTATTTTATTTTGTGTTCCTTATCCACATTGCATCGTACATTGTTGATTGTACGACGCTATCGTCAATATATGCAAAGGAATGTGCACTTCATGCATTTCATATAGTTGCAAAAAGTTTCTACGTTTCTGAAACGATTGAGATACGATCTGCCATTATTTGTTTCGTGCGCTATTGTATAGCAACAAAGATGGACATCTGGTAATTTTCTGTGCATTTGTAAACGGAGCAGACACAGCTAATGATTGTGTTATTTTGCAACGAATGCAATATGCAAATTTTTTTACGTAATATTTTATGCACGACGTAGAATGCGCGAAGAATTAGGAAGATTCAGAAACACGAAAATCTATCTATATACAATATTTCAAAAAGTTATCTATATGTGATATTTATATTTGAGCATTAATTAATTTAACTTGTGAGTTTCAAATTATTAATCCTTATTCTTATCCATCATTGCTTAAAAATTTTTTTCAATAATTATCTTAAAAGATAATTATTGAAGATAATCTTTTAAGATAATCTTATGATATACAGGAAAATTCTCAAACTTTTGAGAATTATTCATAAATTATAAATGTATATGTGAATAATTTAGGTATATAAATGATCGTGAATAGGAATTTTTATACTGCATATTAATATTTTATTGCATAATACTTTAAACATAAATTATTTTAATTATTAGGTGTTGGAATTAATTCGTAGCGTTTTTTAATGAAAGAATGTTATTTATTTCACATGAGCATTAAAAAATACATTAATGAAAGTACTTCCCATCACTTGTAAAACGCTACGAATTAATTCCAACACCTAATAATATTATTTTTATGCTTGAAGTCTTTACATTGTATAGATATATACACATATACGTATATATGCACACACACACACACACACACACACACACACACACACACACACACACACACACACACACACACACACACACATATGTATATATAAAGATACATGTAAAGATAAATTTGACACAAAATTATTTTTAGACATATATTTCCGCTTAATATTCCATTTTTCGAAATCCTTCCTAAAAGAATTATAATATTATTATATCTTAAATATTTTTACCCCATAAAAGCAGGTTTTTCTTTATGGTCTATTTTAGAATCCTAGAAATAAAAATCGACACTCCTCGATTCGAGAGGTACATAAAAGCCAAGTAGGTACATAATACGTACACTTATTGTTACACCACCCACTCACATCGCCCTGGTAACGTTTGCTCAGTTCCGCTCGTCGATAATCATGGCGCCAGTCGCGCGCCAATCACCATGATGTATTCTCCTAGTAGATCGTAGACAATTTTTTGGAACGCAACAATGGTTATAGCGTTCAATAAAAAAGCTTGCCATTATATTGTCAGATTTTTTAATATAAAATATTATCTTTAATATATAAAATATATATAACTTTAATATAATATTTTTAATAATTTTAATATAATTGGTTATACATTTAAATCCAGTGAAAAATTAAGGATGTATTACATATATTTCAATGAAAAAGCAATAAAAAAATTACAGATTATTCTAGATCGCACTTAAAAGTAACAATATTTCATTTGTAATCTTATTATTTAATACAAGCAATGGATCATCTGGATCAAAAATTATTTCAAGAAGTAACATTTTCTAAATCTGTGCTCTAATAGAAATGTATACAAATGTTTTATAAAATAAAATTCCCAATTTTTTATACAAGTGCTTTGAAAAATATTTGAGGTGATTTATGCAAAATTACATTGCAATGTAGAGATTAATTGTTCTGTAAATAAACAAAATATTTATTTCTTCTAAAAAAAAAAAATCTTTATAACTAATGTTTGAATCGCAATAAAACTTTGCGTAAATCATTTTTGAGTACTTAAAGCTCGACTTAAAGTACAATATTTATGTATATATTATAAAAAATTTATATTAAAATGAAATTTATATCATAAACAAATATAATTAATTAAGAACTAATCATTATTAAAATATCTTACAATACAATAAGCAAAGGTGCTTTTTCCACTGAACGCAGCCAATTTTTCGGGATGAGATTACAATAGCGGGGGTGCAAGGAGAACATGGAGCGGTGAGTCAGCGGCAAGTTATTGGTAACCGGCTTTCCTCTCTCTTTCCATCTCCCCATTGGCAAGCTCTTTCCGTCCCGTTTCTTTTTTGTTCTCTCGCACCCGTATAATCCCGTTGTGGTTATTACCCCTCGCTCTCCGTCTCATGTTTCTCAACGCTCTGACACTTTCGAACGAATCGGCGCCGGCCGCTGCGAGTCCAAGTAACTCTTCATTGCGCGTACAGTTCTCTCGGTCGCGCAGGTGCGTCGCCGATTTTGTCCTCGTGTTCGTCATCACGACGCTTCCCGATTAGGAGCGCAAAGAGAATCAGGAATCTCGTGATAGTCTCTCTTACACTGTAAGTATGATGTATTCTTTTCTTTTATCTTCTACCTCGATTTTTCTTGCTTTCGTTGAAGTTTCATTGTTTGCGTTCTTACATAATCTTTCTTAACTCTTAACTCTCCAGAGCTGACTAGTGAGTCCATTCTATTCATTTAATTGTAAATTTCTTTGTTAAAAATATCAAATGATTTAATTTTCTTTATTTTATTGTCTGCAAATTTGGATTATTCTAAAATATACTTAATATTCACTTTTTGTTATTTTGATTCCTTGATATTCATTGATACCTTTTAATTAATTATTTAATTTATTAAATGAGTCTTATAGATTATTAGCACCAATAATTGTTCAGGTCCGAAGGGTTAATTAACTCTTCGGGGCCGCTATAATTACGTCTGTTTTTCTTGTTCCTTCATCGCTTTCAATTTGCACGCCAGTGCGCAGCTTTTACCGTGTTGCCGAGGTAATAATTAACGGTTCGGTAAACTTTACCGGAGAGACAGACATATCTGACGTAATGGTATAAATTAGACACGTTGTTCTATTTTTCATTGGATTTCTATTTATCTTCTCAACTAGATCTACTTTTAATCGAAAATATAATTAACATAATTTATCGAAAGTTAAAGATAGTTCGGTTTTGTGGAAATATCATTTTAATAACGTTTTACATATAATCAAGGATTCGAGATCCGTACCGACAGAAAAACACTAGGATATGCAGGTAACAATTTTGATATGTGTGATTTATGTTCTTTATTAACTTACAAGACGTCTAAGTACCGTTTCTGAAACCGGCTCCGACCGGCCAGTCAAGATATCGGTCGTCCTCAGTTTCATTCATCAACATTCGCAGTTTATCTTGGCTCACATCAGTTCATTTACCGCACTATCTCGTTAGCGTTAATTACAATGGTTGCATTGAGCAGAAAAAAGCATTGTTGTAAGATTTTAATGTAATTGATTTATATATTTAGTTCCAGTGAGAAACTAGAGTAAAATCAACCATATTAAAGAATTTTACAACAATTTCAAAGCTGCTTTTCCTGCTGGAAGCGATTGAAAATAATGCATAAAATTGAAAATCAAATCTTCCACTCTGATCCTCTCGAAGGAATATGAAATATCTCTTATAAGGAAACGTGCTAAGTGAAAAAAAAAATAAAAAAAATTAGCATTATTAGTCAAAAAGTCACGTTCGAAATAAGTATTCTAGATCGTCAAATCTTGGAATCCTACAGATTCTGTATCTGACTTAGGTTGGAATTTGTTTGATCATTTTAACTTAAACACAAAATATCTCGAGAACAATACATTTTGAAAAAAAAAAAAACGTTTTAAATAAAAATTGTAGAAATTGAAGAGGGTCATTAGATGAGTTATTTAGATTTTAGGTCCAGGGTGTTATTTATTTCCAAGTGGACCAATATCACTTTTAGAATGTAGCATGTTTCCTTGTCAGCTTCGTTTTTTGAATTGAATATCATGCTCGTGCTATCGGCAATGATCTAATTTTTGCCCAGTGTTGTGTTCCGAAACGATTGATTCGATTGCGTCTCGATGTGCTAGCCACTTGAAAAGTGTAAGGGATCGTAAATCGATCGATCGCCCGTTGCAAGGTCGTGTGAAACTTTCGCGAAATAATTATCCGAACCGGTCGAAAGAACGCTCGCATGACGCGCTTCATACAAGGATGATTTTCTGTGAGTCATCCTTGGGGCAATGCGCTGCGCTTTGCTATTAACGCGAGGAAAAAGCGAGATGCGAAATGAAATCTTTCAAGACGAGTCTTATCTCGACGTTTATTTTACGCTATTCTCACCTTCACCTAGATGTTCGTCTAGGATTCAACTTATCTTCCAGCTAACGAGTACAAACCGCGTCATTTTCCAACATGGAGAAGTGCGATCGCGAATTATCGCTTTTTGAGCAAAAAACGTCCGTTAGATAAATTTCGCATTATTTATCCGATGGAAACGGCCTGTAACTATACACAATTTAAACCTGTAACTACACTTTGCAAATCACTCATCGGACGTTACACACATTCTCTTTGTTGCCCGGTACAATGTGCAGTCGTGCTTGAACACGACACGCCGCGTATGATTCAGAGCGCGTCCCGCTTTTGCCAGCGGACACAGTTCTCCTCATGTGTTACTCGTATATTCATTGTCCGCTTCGTTAATAATAAAAAAATAAAATCAGATATATTATGTATATTTGATAACTAATGAGTTGAAAATAAAAACCGAATATGACCTACTCTATGCTCCAATTAGCAAAGCAACAAGTCACAATAACGTTAAAATGATGTTAAAACGAATCGTAAGTAATTGAAAAGTGACTTTAGTGGATCATTTTGAAATTATTTTCACGTTATTTTGATGTCATGATTTTGATTTGTCTTTTGTTTGGATGATAAATGTTTCTGTGTATATATTTTTTCCCCACACTGAGATAAACCTACTTGTCTTACAAAATTTATTTGTGAGAAATATATTTTTATTTTTCATTGAAATAAATATTTATTTAAATATGTGCAATAAAATTCTTAGCAAATAGGTAATCTATTTTATTTTTTTACATTTGATGAGATATACTTCACAGAAATGTTTTTGTCATAGCTAATAATAAATATTGATAAAAATGTCGTAAGAAATATTTGTTTCGTAATACTTCAACATTTGTCTCAGTATAAGTAAACTTCGTTTTTTTATTTTGATGGTTGATCTCGTTTTCACCTTGAATTTATTTTGTCATTTAAATTCGACCCAAATAAAATTACCATTTATATTTATATCACATATAAGTCTTTCATTTACGAATTCTCGATGTCACAAGATTTCTCATCAGTTCTTGTGAATGCTTCGAAAATATCAAAATTCGATATCGGGAAAATTTCATCATTTTATTTTAAAATAAACAAAAATTCGTTCATATCATGAAAAAATGTTTTATTTGTTGTAATGTTTCAGATTATCGACCCGCATTCGAAAAGGAAAACAAAATGTCCGAATACTGCGAATATATGTGGTGCGATCCCGCTCGAGGTCGTAGTAGTTTGGTCCGTAGCATTTATGAGGAGGGAGGCAGATTCGATAAACGTGATAAGAAACTAGCCATTAAGACTGTCAGGTCTATACTTCGGCAAATGCCGGATGTAGGTAAGAATTGTACCAAATAAAATCGAAATTAATTTATTGCATGTATATCGGAGTACTGTTCTTATAAGAGACAAGATTGGATCTATTCTTTCTATGACTAAACTAGTGTATAGCGTATTTATCCATGAAATGTTCAGAGAACTAAAAGGGCATAGAGACATCCTCTAGGTGTCTTCAGAATGAGTGTACACTCCCCATACAGCACAAACATCTCTCGAAGAAATTGCTACATGGAGAGTGTACACTTGTTATTGTTATTTAAAATAAAATTTAGATAATATTTAAAGTTATATAAGTTAGATAATATTTAAAGATAATATTTAAAGTTTGACGAAAGTGAGAAAAAAATTTAATGTTCAATACAGTGACGAAGAACAGAACTCAAAATAAGGTAATAATCTGACTATTCTATTTTCCAATCAAGTGAAAATATCAACAACTGTTTTTTTACAATTACCTGAATAAAAGTAATCTTTATTTAATTGTAAAAACGTGAAAGACAGACGTCATCGGCGATTAAGGACAAATATTAATATGTTCAGTCCATGTTGTATACACACTTCCGGGGAATATTCTCATTCGAATTGCTTCCGGTCGCGCACGGCGTACGTTTCACGAATAGCATCGCAATGATTGGCCTTCGTTTGTTATTTTCAGACCTGGAACATTGCACGGATGAGTATATCACGCGCTTCCTGCTAGCCCGGAAGTACCGCACCGAGCAGGCAGCGGCTTTGATAGCCGCTTATCAGGCGCAAATAACACATCGCCAGGATATCTTCGGTAATCTCACTGCCCGGGATCCGGCATTGCAGCGTGCGCTTCGCGCAGGTATACCGGGTGTCTTACCTGCACGTGACAGGTATGAATAATAATCTGTCGATGAACACACAAACAATTTTTATGACTTCATTTTGATTCTCAACGTCAATAACAGTCAAATTTTATAAATTTTGCAAATGTTTTGAAAATTTTATAAATTTTCATAACGTCAAAATAAAGTCATTTTGAATTTTTCTTGACTTGGTATGCTCCTTAGACTCTTACAATCAGTTAGTTTTTGATGAACGCCTTGCTAATTTATGCTTATCCTTTCCGTCGCTATCGACACGCGCCCGTACGTGCCGGAAATGCTTCGTCTTGCGCATAAATATTAACATGATATATTTTTTTTCGTACAAGAATACAAACGTATTCGTAATTGAGCTATTTAATATTTAAATGCTTTAATCTAAGCTATTTAAAAGAGGAAAAAATCTTATCTCTTTCTTAATTGTTTCAATAATATAGATGAAAACAGAAATTTATTTGTAATGACCATTCTATACTAAGCCATTAGTAATAAATCAGAAGTCAGAAGCTAGAAATTGATTAATCACAGTTGAGTATGAAAAGAATAATTGACTATGATTAGTCAATTTCTAGTTACAAATTTCTGACTAATAGCTTAGAATGTGTGAATATTTAGTAGTCAATTATCTTATTATTTCATTCATTTTTGTTTTACCATAAATTAATATAGGAAAGGCAGATGCGTGCTGGTTATTTTGGCGTCGCAATGGGATCCTGTAGCTGTACCCGCATTGTCCGTTCAACGAGCGATATTCTTAGTTCTGGAAATACTTATTCAAGATCCTCGAAATCAGGTACACGTTCGTTATTTATTAATCGATCGCTTATTCCATGAAATCGATTATTATTATAAAGTGGCTACTTTTGTTATATTTTTAAAGCAATGAATTTTTTAAGTGCTTAATTTTCCACGCTATTGATTATCGTCCCTATCTTGATGGAATTAAACCATGAAAACATAAAGTAAACCAGAAGTTCTATATTAATATAAGTTTAGTATTATAAAATACAAAAATAGTAATTACAAATAAAAAATAATAAATTCAATATTATAAAATATATAAAATATTATAATATAAAAATTTAAGTTCAATGTTAATATAAAAATGTAAGCGTCGAAGTTTGTAACTCGACCATAACGTACTTATATAATGAAATGTTTGGAATTCTGTCGACAGCAGCTAATGCTGTTTCATTCAGCTAAATCTAGACGACCGGCTTAGACTCGGCGTCCACTTCTACGCTGGAATTGTTACATGCCGCTTGAACGCTTAACGATGACCTAGGGCTCCTTTTTTTCAGCAATCCGGTTTCGTCGCCGTGGTAGACTGGAGCGGATTCTCGTTACGGCAGGGGGGGGGGTTGGGGGCGGATTTCCCGCCCGATTCAAGGCGATACACTTCCTCTCGGCGCCGCTCTACGTCCAGGCAACTCTGGCCCTGGTGAAACCGTTTTTGGATGAGAAGACACGGAATAAGGTAAGGCATAAGTAATGTTTGAAAAAAATCTTCTAAGATATTCATCCGTTCTTATTTCAAAAACCGTCTTAAGATACTAATACGACTTGTTGATTGATTCATATTAAGATTATATTTAAAACAGTTTTAAAGTCTAAGACTCGACTATAAACCTAAGTAAAATATGTCAATTGACGCAATCGGCTTGGGGACAAATATTTACATAATTATAATGATGTTTCAATAGTTCAATGTACGCAACGAAAGATAATTAACTGTAAAATTTTGATATATATCATAATAAAAATTTATCATTACGTCTGCGTGCAAATAGATCAACTAGACTCGGTAATTTATTTTCTGATCATTTGCTATCCAGTTTTTATCATATCTAGCAAATACTGTTCAACGTATAAATCCATTTCCGTTGCTTGCCTACGTCGTAATCTGCAAGAAAAACATAAAGTAAGCTGAATTTCTCGGTAGAGCGGTACCTTCGGAAATATGCATAAATGTGGCTACAAATTATTATTTAGACTCATTACTGATAACCGCCCCTCGAACGCAAAAAGATGTTATCGTTTTTCTCCTGGCAGATTTATCTGCACGGCAACAATCTCAGTACGCTTCACGAACACCTGCCAACGGACATCCTGCCGGCGGAGCTCGGTGGAACGGGGCCAGCCTTCAACCCGGGATTATGGGCCGAGCCGGTCATCCACTCGGCGATGAAAGAGGCCGAGCTCGCCGCCGCCGCCGCTAAAAAGGGAAAAGACCATCATGTCGATGTGCAAGAACCGGCCAACCTTCGAGACGGATCGGAAACCGCAAACGAAAACCATCAGAGGAGCGATGGCTTGGACGTTCCAATGAATGCGGATAAAACATTCTTGAACAATTCCGACAATTTCACAAAACTCTCTTATGGGAGAGCGCTGCAAATGGATGTAGAGCTAGATGTAATAAATAAGCGATTGAACAAACAGAAAGAGGCGACGGGATCAGTAAGAAATAACGAGGACAGAGTTAAGGAACAATTACACGAACGAATCAGTAACGGAAACATAAACGAGGCGCGTCATTCTGAAGATAGAACAGATCAGACCAATACTATTGACTTGGCGTTTTTTGACGCGGATATCAACTTGAACGAGTTTGAGATGATTTCCAGCAGGTCGTGCAACGAGAGCAAGGACAACTCGTTGGACAATAGATTAGAAGAAAGAGCTCTCATCACCACCGGCAATAGCGAAACACCGTCGGAGAAAACGAATCTCATAACGTAATGTCGATCTCTATAGATCTAAGTATTTGTAATACTTACTGATAGAAATCTATCTTTTCCTGCTAAATGAATTTTTTATAGGTGACGCGAATCTCTAAATAATGGCTCGAACAGTCTCGAGATATCGTAATTTTATGATCGCAACAAATTCTCTTGTAGACTATTTTCTAGATATAATTTGGCTCGATGCTTTTCTGGTTATGGATTTCCGCTTTCTTGGAATGTATAAAATCAGGAAGTGAAATTTTTATATTGACCTTAAAATATCATTAGAAATGAGTATTACAAGCGCACTGAAAAGTCGTCGAACGTTTTCAATAATTTTTATCCTTGAACTGTACTTATAAAACATGCAAAAATATTAAATTTGTATTAAAGTTTATAAAAATATACGACAAATTTAATAATGTTATGATCCTTGCATTAGGTATGTTTAACTTAATTATGACAATGTGGTATCTGTTTTATTAAATTATACATAGGCAGCTCTTCCTAAAACAATTTAATTAATATTAAAGAGACTATAATAGAAAAATAAGGGCTGTTCATGCTATTTCGTGATCATTCTGATATATTTAATAGGAACCAAGTATGTTTTGCAAAATTTGTAACGAAAATTTGTGATTGGTAAAATGTCTTTTCTGTAGTTATGAGAACTGAAAAATGAATGAGCCTGAGACATTTCGTGAAATATATAAATATCATACATTACAAATAGTGCAGTCTTAATGAAATCATATTTCTTTGCTAGTAGAAAAATAAATATTTTCAATACAATCTATATTTTTTAAAATAATGTATATATATATATAGACATTTTAAATAACATCTACGAAATATATTTTTTTTTAGCTTATAAATTCAAATGCTGTATATTGAACGTATAATGAAACTTATTTTTCCAGTAACTATTTGTCTCATAGATAAATTTTTTTGCATATCTGCATTTTTTACATACATATATGTAATAAGTTATTTATTACGAAGATAAATCAGAAAATTTGAAATTTATAGAACTCTAAGATGTGATTTATTATGCACTGCAAAAAATGTACAATAATTTTGACGCGATGTGATATAATAACATATATTTAAGTTAAAATTATGTTTTAAACGCGACAACTTACATTCCGCGCTTCTTTCCTTTATATTATACTGATTACTGTAAAAGTACTTAAGCTATAAAATTATTTTACGTTATCCATATTAATGAAATAGTTTGTTATTCACAACAGTAATGCTGAAAAAAGAATAATGGATATGAGGAAGATCTAATTGTGATGAAATAATATAAAAATTTATTTCGATAGATAAAATATATATATATGTGTGTATAAATTTTCAACATTAATACATGTCTTAAATAATATAGAATGTCTTATCACATGTTACCAAAAGCACCCTGCTACCATCTGATTTTACATACATCCCGTATGAAAATAGAAAATTCTACATATAGAAGTCTGAGGTATATAAATACTGCAATTCAACATAAAATGAAAAATATTTGTATTTAGAACTATCTTTTCTGTTATACAAATATTTAATGTCTCATTTTGAAAACTAAGATTTCCGTTCTTCTCATGCAAGAGCGCGTATTTGCACATAGCGATCTTTTTTATTTTATGTTGAATTAATATCGTTAAAATATAATTGGCTGTATTAATATCGCAACATCGAGCGTTATATTTCAAGGAATCCCAATAAGCAATTGGTCAGAAGATTCATGTACACTTTCTTATTTAGATAATATAAATGTAACCTTGGAATTTGATAAATGCAAAGTTACAACATAATCATACATATATAAACTTACTTCATCATGAAATTTACGAAATATCAAATATTGTAAGAAATTTCATATTAAATGCATGTGAGTATACATACTCATATATACATATTCGTATTCATATAATTTGTACTTTATCTCGATAGTGTTTACATAGATGAAAATCTTGATATAAATATAATACTTCGCAAAAGAAAGATGGCAGGGTCGGTAAGATGAGGCTTTTATGTGTGTATCGTTCATTCATAGAATTATTGTCTATGACAGTATTAAACATCAGGCTACTATTGTTGGTGGTACCCATCCTCCGAAACCTCGTTCCAATTCTTCCGCAACAGCGAGAGTTAAATGATCTTGATAAAGTCCTGCTACGATCTATATGATTAAAACTATATTACTTAAAATACAAATGAAACAATACCTTTTTTGCATAGAAATTTACGAATACACACTTGTAATCCAATGGGAAGTCCTTGTTTATTTAAACCTAATGGACAAGCCGTAGCTGGTAGGCCTAATACATTAATGATTGCAGTATAAGAAAAGTTAAACGGCTTACACAACGGTTCATGGTGCATTGGAGCTGCAGTCGGATGTGTTGGATACAAAAATACACCATCTTCTCCTAAAATATCCTAAAAAAAATATGATAAGTATAAAACATTATGTATATTTTTATATACAGAAAAATTGTATAGCAATAGTGACATTTGAAGCATACATTGATAAAAATCATATAACAAAAAAAAATAACACAACAGTACCTTAAATTCCCGATAAAGATCTTTACTCTGTTGCATAAGTCGAACATGTTTCTCACTTCCATGTTTTAAGCCGCATTTTTCAAATATGGCAGTGACAAGAGCAATAAAAGTGTGATTGCTCATAAATAATATCCATTTAATAATTTCCAACCAGACATTAAGTTGACCTTTTCTATTGGTTAGCTCGTATGAAAAATCTTCCTCCTCCTTGCATGACATGTTTGCCAACCAGAGGGCTATGCTTTTTTTAAACTTCTGTACGTTTACTTTCGTGGCTTTAACTTTGTGCGCTTTTTCGAAATAATTTATCACTCTTTTCATAGCGGCTTTTATTTCTGGATCCACTGGCGAAATCAGATACTGACCACCATCGTCTTCCATATAATAGAGCTAAAGTTACATAGAAATATTATTCCCTGGTTATTATATGATAAATTATTAATCTTGATATTTTGCAAAAGCATGCATATATAAAGTAAGATTAAGTTCAAGAAAAACTAATTAAATTTAAGAAAAAATAATTAATTTTATTTCAATTTTAAACTTCATAATTTACCTTGATTTGCGAAATATCCACTTTCTGATTTAACTTCAATAAATCGGCATTTTTATCTGCGATAATTTTAAGAATTAATGTTAAATCTTGTGCAAATCTACACATTGGTCCAATGGCGAGTAATTGCTCTTGATCATAGCCATGTGCACTAGGATATTGACCATCATTCGAAACAATTCCTATAATTTAATAAAAATGTAATATTTTCACGTTGATAACAAGAAATATTTAAATTATCCAAATTCTCAATCCTTCTCACCCTTAGTTGGTTTATGACCAAAAATTCCATTGAAGAATGCTGGCATACGAATAGAGCCACCAATATCCGAGCCAATTCCAAATGGTGATCCAGCTGCTGCTTGTATACAGCCTTCACCACCCGAAGAACCGCCCACAATATGTCTGAAAATGAATAACAATGAAATAAGAAATTTTTGTAGGATTTTATCTTGTTATTTCTGTAGTACATTCAAATTCAAATTATAATAAAGTTATGAAGAAATTTCGTAACTGCTACCTAATATATATTATATATATTGATATATTTTATAATATATTAATTTATAATATTATAATACACATATATTGAATATTAAAACAATTCAATAATTATATTTTACCAATATTCTTTGTGATTTAATTGTACATTATAAAACAAAATTTATTTCATCTCCTCAAGAATTTTTTCGATAAAGTTTCGATAAATAATTATGTGTTCAATAAATATTGTGAAATAATTGGAGATGATATTATATTATACTAATGATACGTGTTGATATAATTACCAACGTATTGTACCTTGTATTATATGGATTCTTGGTGATACCAAATAAACAATTATTGCTTTCCCACCACATTGCCAGTTCTGAAACATTTGTTAGTGCCAGAGGTATGGCTCCAGCTGATCTTATTAATCTTATCACTTCTGCATCTCTATCAACGATAGTATTTTTCCGTATAACTAGACCGGCCGTTTGTTGCATGTTTTTGATTGCAATACAGTCCTGCAATGCAATAATACAAATGATATTCTTAAATTATAGTCACGTAATTATCTTAAGGTGATAAAAAGCAAAAACTTAATTGTTTAAATTCGGCTCTTCTAATAAAATTAAGTTGTGAAACAAATAAGAATCAAAAGTTACCTTGGTGGTGAAAGGTATGCCAAATAATGGTTTTTCTTTGGTCAGAAACTCCGCAGAAGGAGCATCCTGAGATTTTAACAGTTCGTCGCATTTTCTCGCTTCTTTAAGAGCTTCTTCAAAGCGTTCTGCGACCACGCAGTTGAGTATCGGTTGAATCTCTTTTATTCTTTCTATATACGAAGATACCACATCTTCGGAAGTTAACTGTGAATAATAAGTAGTTACATAATCGACTAATAATTAGCCAACATGGGCAGAAGTGTGTCATTTAGGTAGTTAATAAGATTTATCCTGATCATGTTATTAATTATAGTATTTATTAACAGCAGATCTAATTCTTTTATGTTTTGAAGAAACGATTAATGGTATTAATGGAAAAATAGAGAAAATAGGCGAGTTATTTTTATTTATTATGTTTAAGATAAGCATCGCAGTATTATTGGTCATATAATTAATTAAAAAATAAAACTTCACTTTTTTATTCGATAATTTAAAAAGCGAGCAAATAACTGGTAGAAATTTATCAAAAGCAAGTTGTCAAATTTTATCAAACACTGAGCAAATTCAAAAAGTGTGAGATAACAAAAACTTACTTGTCTATTTCGAATTTTTAATGCTAAAGTGGTTGTGCTGTGCAGGAGAGTTAAATCTTTGATGGGTGGTTGAAATTGCGCCGGCCCTCTGACAAAAGCAACTAACAGTGATATTCCTCTCACAATTAGTTCTACTAGACGATGGCACACACCTAGGATCTGTCGAGTTTGCATTCTGCTTCGTGTTTGTTCTTCAATTGACATTCACCTGCCAAGAGAGAAAAATATACATATTTGTACAAATTTTAATAATTTTAATGCGTTTAATTGTCCATTGTATACATATTCATAAGATGCATTCACTAACAAAAATTAAAAAAGCTTTCTGCATTATATATTTTGATTAATCAGAATCCAATTAAAATATTTAATAATAAACGTAGTAATTAAAATTAAATTTAATATTAAAAATTGTTTTCATAAAATTATTTGTTCATAAATATTCATAAATCAAACTCGTTAAATAAAGTTTTACGAAGAAAATAATGATTTTACAATATTAATATAATCCGCTATGATTCACAATGTATTCAATGGCGTAATGGAGGTTAAAAATAAAATAACATAAGAATAATCAATTTAATTTTGTAATTTAAAAATTGTAAATACGCATCATTCGAAAATACGAGTAAAAAACAGGAATTATTTCCATATTATGGATTTTATAATATCATTATATATGACAATTGCGTGTTAGAAATTTATTGTGACGTGGTACATACTGATCGAATGCAAATATGAATCATCATTCTGCCTTGGAAAATGTTATCGTATGAAGACTCGCAATATCGTACGAGTACAATTCGCCTACAACTTATATTGATTTCTTTTTTGACATGAAAATATTCTGTTTAGTATATATTTTAATAATTCCTTATATTTTTTACAT